CGCCGCGCGTTCGAATGCACCTCCCCTCCCTCGATTGGGTGCCTGCCTCCCAGCCCTGCACTCGCATTGGTGGCCACGCACCTCAATCTCTCCCCTCACTCCTCCCTCTCTCTCTTACTGTCTCCGCACGCCCACGCCGCTTGCCTGAGGGAGTCTTCCTCTACTGTCGTCATCCTGCTGTCCAATCAGATCGTGAGGATGTGGCGCCGGGCGGGGCTTTCAGTCCAGGCCGTTTGAAAAAAAACAAACCCGCGCCGCCGGAGCCCCATTGGTCGGAGCTTTGCCTAAGGCACCCGCTTCTCGTGGCAGCTCGGCCAATGGGAGGGCCGGACAGCGCCAGTTCGAACGGGGGGCGGGGACGGGCTGTTAAGCGCCGGATTCAAAGCTGACGGTTGACGCGCGGCGTAGGGATTATTCAGTGCGGCTCGGCCGGTCCGTCGACATCATGGAGCCGCTCTCCCTACGCCCGCTGGAGTCGCTCAAGTATTGTGAGCTGCAACAGGTGGCCAAGGTCGCTGGACTCCGCGCTAACCTCAAGGTGGGAGCGGGGCCCCGGGAGGGGAGCTGGGAGGTGTTTGTGCCCCGTAGGCGCTGGGGCGGTGGCAGCGCCGGGCTGGGCTGGGCTGGGCTGGGCTGCCCTGCCCTGCCCTGCCCTGCCCTGCCCCCGGTGCCTCGTCGAGTGCTCAGCTCCGGTGGGCGCCGCGGTCCTTCCGCGGGGGGGGGGGGGGCCTGTCTCCTGGGGGCAGACCCTGTCTCCTGGGTCTCCGGCGGCTCCCTCAGGCGCGGCGGCAGGAAAGCTATGGGTGCAACTACACGGCAGAGAACTGGGGTCGGAACTCGTGGCAGAGGTGGTCTCTTTTATTAGATATTTGCAAGCATCTGTCTTTATTCTCATAGGAGAGGGAAAAGGCTGTAAAGTTCTCCGCGGTGGAAATGAAAATTCGTATTTCACAGGAGAGCAGAAGGTGGTGCAAGATCTCCTGGCTGGAATAGTTAATTTTGGCAAATTAGGCTTAGGTGAAAGTTGGAACAGCCCACTTTACCTCGGTGCTGTCTGGAGTCAAGCATGATGTTGAATTATGTTTCCTTCCAGTGATGACATTTCATCTCTCACAGGAGGGTGGTGATGGACTGGTCTCCTGGGCAAGGAATTTCTCTTGTGCTGAGGCAGCTTTGAGCTCTGTGAAGATGCAGATTTATCTGGAACAACAATAGGCAGAAGCCAGGGTGTCGGCTTTCAGGTTTCCGTAAAAATTTTTTTTGCAAATATCTAGTTGGTCTAACAAAAGTCTGCCATGAGTTATAATTCCTTTTGCCAGTGTAGAGACCAATAGGCTACAGCCTGTATCCCTGAAACTGGAGAACTGTACCTTTAAGAAGCTCTGGCATCGGGCCTATTGGGATTTGTTGTTTCTTACTGTGCTTTCTATCTGCAAGCCAGGTGTGCCAGGGAAGAGGCAGCAGAGTTTGAGCAATATTACATAAATGTTCAGGGTACTATTCCATGACACACAAGCAAGATGTATTTAAATAGAAAGGTGAGGAGAGGGGGGCTGCCCAGAGAAGCTGACAGCCGATGGATTGGCTCCCTGGAGTTGGAGGCAGCTCACTCCCAGCTGGAGGGACACCAGAGTAAGCAGCCAGTTCAGGTAATGGGATAAGAAATGCCAGTCCCCTTTGAGACAGTGGCTGAGGTAGTCCTGCCTGCCGCTGACTTCTTGTGCTGCAATTATTATGTTCAAGTGGGAATTTAAAATGTTGTTTTAAGAAGAGCTTCTCGGGCCAGTCGTGAGGTGTCGGAGGAGGCTGAGGTGTTTGGCCACCAGCTTTCATTAAGTTTCTGGGCTAGATGTCTGTTCATTCTTTTGCCTAGGAATTGCCTTTATCTGGCTGATGTAAGCACTGTAAGCTGGTGATGGTATGTAAGTTGTTGGTGGAAGAATAGAGGAATAAACCCCAGATGTTATAATTCATTATGTTTGGTCCAGCGGGGATGTGGTCTGTGTTTGAGAAGACACAACTGGCATCCAACAGTCTATTCATAGCATCTTATTAAGTATTTTCCATGCCTCCTACAAAAGCCTCTGAATCGCTTAGTCTCTAAGGTATCACCCTGCCCTGTCTTCTTTTTGGGAATCAGCTATTAGTGCTGTTTACAGGGAGTCAAAGCTGCTCAAAAGAGACTTACTGTTTATTTATTAGACAGAACAATTAGGGAAGCAATTTTAAAGCAGTTAATGTGCATGTCTACCATGTGTTCTACTATCTCATGGTGGTAACCTAAGGTCCCCTGAGAATAAGCCTCTGGCTGGGAGCAGGTTTACAGTTAGAGCTTTGCCAGAACAGATGTACAAGTCCAGTGATACCCATGCTGGCTCTTCACTGAAATTGATTTTGAACTGGAGTGTCCTTGTTGCAGTTTACCTAAAGGTGCTTATTTTACAGCTCTCTAGTCAACAGTGACTGCTTATGTGGCTCCTATGACTGAGTCGCATAGTGTCAAAGGCTGCTTCTTGGCTGTTAGGCTAAGATCAGTATTATATTCAGTATGTGGGTTTAGCAAAGGAATGTTCCCTGACCAAATGAAAATAAGATATACCAGCAAATGAACAATGAATAACTGCTTCTGCGCCAGTGACTTCTGAGGCAGTTAGCCCATTAGCCTGAAGTCAGGCAGAAGGCAGGGTAGAGATGCACCTGGCTTTTGCCAGCAATGTTTTTCACATGTCATCCTCCTCCTATTGATATAACTATGATGGCAAATATTCTAATATTATAAAAGCCTAAGTCTGTCGGTAACGCTTTATTCATGCTGTGATTGGCTGACAGAAACAGTCAATCGGAGTGCTCCAAGCGTGGGGGAGCACCGCTGTGATTCCAAAGCCAGGCGGAGGACTGGACAGAGGGTGGGGAGCTGAGGCCCCCACCCTGCTCCTTGCAAGAGGCAGAACTGCGGCAGCATGGGGCGTTAGGTGGTGGGACACCATCCCAGCCCCCTCTCCCCGGTCATTTATGACCGGTAATTGGCTAGTTTGTTATAAAGCTGTAGCCCTCATCTCAATTAACCATCAGACTTTCCATCTCATGCCATCTCCCATGCCTGAAAGTGTCTTTGTTTAAATTAGCGGGGGGGTCAAAGATTCAGTCAGTGGGCTGAATCTGACCTGTGGAGCTCTATGATCTGGTCTGTGGGTCTTGGGCCAATCCCCACATACCACATGTGGCACACACTAGCCCCAGTGCCTCATGTAGCACAGGGGGTCAGTCTTGGGTACATGTTGCATGCAGCTCCCACAGAAGACCAGCCCTGGGCACTAGCTCTGGGCTGGTCTGGATTGGACCTACAGACCATCCCTGTATGCTGGAGCCAGTGTGTAGGGCTGGTCCAGAATGGGCACCACATGCAGTACATGCCCCATGCTGGGCTTGCTTGCAGTATGAACCCTGGACCAGGGCCAGCATGTGGTGTGTGGGGTTGGACCGAATGCAGGCAGAGCACATGGGGCCAATCTGTAGCACATGCTTCCTGCAGTGCCCCTCCAGACTGGGCCTGTGCACTATATCTGGGGCCAGTTTGGATCAGGGCCACAGACTGACCCTACACACTGGAGCCAGCATACAGGGCCAGTTTGACAGGGACACTTCATGCATTAAGTACCCCATGCCTGCTCTGTGAGCCCTGGCCCAGGGCCACTACATGCTGCTTAAGTGCATGAGGTGCCTGCACCAGACCAACCCGGCTTCCTGGCGGTGTGTGCAGCTGGTCTGTGAGCTTGATCCCTGTGGGGCTGGAACTATTTGATGTCCTTGGCTTAAATCTTGCTAGAGTTCTTTGTTGTTCCCATGTTATCTGAATTTGCAATCGGGACCATAGAATTGGTGGTCTTGGAAAGAACCATTAGATCTTCTAGATTGGGATATTCAGGCTGCAGCTCATGGGCCATATCTGGCTCCTGGTGCCTTGCCATCCAACCTGTGGGGCTCCTTATGGGTCTATGGGGAGCCTGGTGGGCTGTGGCCCTATGTCCTAGATTGGACACATGGGGGGGGCAATCTTGGCATGTGGGGCCAGATGAAGGGATGATGTGGGGCCCTGATCCTTGTATGTGGGGCTGGGCAGAGGTGACACAGTCCAGATCTGGGTGTGTGGGCATGATCCTGAGGCGCAGGGTCTGATTAGCCCACAGATCAGCTCTATACCACTTGTTTGGTCTCAAGGACCAAAGGGTTGAGTACTGCTATTTTAGATTACCTGTTACATAAAGAAAGCAACAATACTCACAAAAATTATCAGTTTTCAGTTTTGCTACTTGGGGGAAACTAAGAGTATAACTACACTGTGGAGAACTGTACCTTTAAGAAACACTGGCATTGAGCCTATTGGGATCTGCTGTTTCTCACTTTACTTTCTATCTGTAAGTCAGGGGTGCCAGTGAAGAGGAAGACTCTGAACGTAATTCAGAAAGAAATCTAGCTGATTCTAAAGCATTTAGTAGTTTTGAGTTCACTGAGACAAAGTTTGAGCAATATTACAGAAATTTAGTCCTTACTAAATAACTGCTGGTACTGTGCAGTCCTGGCACTGCACAGGTTATTTCTGACCCTACTGGGTAGTTGCTCATCACTACTACGCAGTAGCAGCGCTGTCACAGTTCATGCCCACTGACACTGTTGCTGTAGCAACAAGCTATGTCGCTGTAGCTATGGTGACATAGCATCTTATATAGACGTGCCCACTGTGTCTAAGACCAGCAGACAAGTGGGCATAAACCGGCTGGGAAATTTGAACACTGTCCCATAACGTAAGATAGGCTTGCTGCATTGGAGCCAGGTTATGGTGATCAGCTGCAGAGTCCTGGGATTTCCAGTTATGGTGGGAGGACCAAATTGGGAGGCTGGGTCATGCCCC